GCAAAATGTCACCAAATCGATCGGAGGACTCAGACAGAACCCGTCTACAGAGTCCTACGGTTGTACTTACCCAAATCTATTCCCATTTACCATCTTTTCAGGAGCGATTCCTACTACAGCCCGTCCACTCGACAGAGTAGCGGTTCTAAAGGAAACTGGAACGAACCAAATAAATCTTCTCGTATGTACTTGCTTCGTAATTCAGACCCCAAGGTCTACCATTAATTTCCTTACATCTCTCGCCATAGTTTACGGAATCACTGGTGCCAGGGAGAAAGGGAGGAAATTGAGCCAAACACTCCAGACGACTAACCTCAATCGAAAGTCACTCTTGTTCGGTTAACGTGCGTTGGAAATCACAAACCCGCTCAATGCCCACTCCACGACACATTAGTAAGATTCAAAATGCATTAATGATATAAGGAAACGATTTCTACCCAGCTAGGTGACGTACACTAAATGAGAAACCGGCACTCCCCTTGAGAACAAACACGCCTTCCGATCGCCAGATTGTAATAGCCAGGTTGCTTGTCTCGTCTGACTAAAGTTCTAATCTATCCGTTCTTTGCCATCAAAATTAAAAATTTCTTTCAAAAAGAAATTACTCTTCGTCACTCTGCCATCCCAGGACTTTCTGGTTACTATTTCTCCCTCCCTCTCAATAAAGAACGACTATCCTCTTCAAGAAACCGTTCAAAAGTTGTAGTTCACCAAATGAACTTGTGAGCTTTTGTTTCAGGCACCGCTGCCCTTTGAAACATTAGAGTCGTCTCCCCCTTGTAGAAGAGGAGGGATTTGGTGTCCAAACCGAAATTGGTCAACAAACACAAACAACAGTTTGGCGAAATAAAAATGAGACTGCAAGGCCCTACACTGTTGGGCAAAATCCCACTACGAGATGCAGACGATCTTGAGGAAATTGTGGTAACAGCATAGAAAATCTACACACTGAGCAAAATAGCCAGTACGTCTCCTGTACTGATCATAATAATATCAAGTCACTTCGTCATCGGACCCATGCTGTAACACGTGAAGACATATGCAAGCTTTCATCTGACGATGAACTTGACGTATACAGGAGTCTATATTTTACTGTGTTCTTAACAACTGCCTGTCTGTCAAGCTGTTCATTCCGCATCCTCCCCCTGAGAGGTAAGGAAGAAGGATGCGGCTTAGTATCGTTCGAATGCCAGTGCGCACACTTCATTGAAGATGTTTGAAGTTTTGCTTCTTCAACGAACGTAGGCCAACCTGACGGGGGGAGATACGCTGCAGTTTGTTTGCCATCCCAAAATCTTGTGGTGCTATACAGATCATTGCTTATAAAAAGGACAGCAGAGAAAACACATTTTGATGTTTTCTCGAAGGAATACTCCTCATGAGATCACTGAAAGTTCTTCGACAGGCCACGACCAGTCGCGTCCTTCGTTGACCTCCCACCTAAGCAAATTAGTTTGCAAACGAGCAGGATCTTTTACTAAAGACCTTCAGATCTTTTGACAAAATGAGTCCCAAATGGTTTATTATCACGAACTCGAGTAAGACGCAATCTCTCCTATTCATACTGAAAGCGCTCTAAACTCACAACAGGACCCATGAGAGCCTACAGGCGATCCTGATCTTATTAAGGTTTCCCTTCTGTCACCTTTCTTTTGTTAGGTATGACATAAGGTCCTCCTTAATTCCAGGAATTAAGATAACTGAATATATGTTACCGCGCCTTAATGGGATGCTCACGATCGCGTCCATGTGGAATTTTCCTGTTCAAGGGGATCATAATCAGCTGCTTAATTGAATACCTTCAATTCCCATTTGGATTTTGGACTAGCATCGCTGTATGTGAATGCCTCATCTCTTCTTCTCTGAAACCAGTGATCCTTCATCCTTTCTGTTCTTGAAGGCCGCTGTTTTCTCGTTACACAGAACCTCCTGTGATCCATGTGAGCTGAAATTTCACTTACTCAAACAAGAAAGTCCTGCTTTTATCCAGTCAGAGTCAGACGTTTTACCATTCGAACACTCGCGTCCCACCCTACAGACAATCTTGTTTCCCGTATTGTTTTTTGGCAAAAGTGTTACCGTGAAGTCCTTCGAATTTTCAGCTTAATGCACTAGGATTATTGGGAATTTTCCCGTCCCTGTTTTGGTACACTGTGAACCCATTGTCACTGCCCTGAGGAATAATGCGTCCCATTTTACCCGTCATTTATGTAAACAAATTCTGAACAATGACAACCGACTAGATTCCTTTCTGATACTCATTTTCGGCCATCGGTTCTCAACCGACGGGATCGGTGAAAAGCTAAAATCACGTAAAGTTCCCTGGACTCTGTATCTATTCAGTGTTCACCCGAGGCAAGAAGACTATGCAACAAATCGAATCAGTTTACTTCAGATTAATAACAAATTTGCTGAATTTGCAAAAACAAAACAAACACGATGAGTTTTACAATTTCCTTGGGCTAGATACGTACAATAATTCACATAGAACGTTCTCTCCAAAAGATTGACTGTCCATATGTGTTTGGGAAATGCCACATACTCAGTAGACAAAGTTGTCACAACGATATGACTTAGAGGGCATTACGTAATCTAGAACTTGATAAGACTGAACGCATTTGGATGGATCTTTTTACACTGGCATAATGCGGAATCGGTGCGATGTTCGGTGAAGTCATCCATGAACTGAAGAACTTAGAACTGGGAGGGGGACCACGTATTGCATACTCAAGACAGCGCAATCGGAGCCAGCTGTGGTGAGTACAGGGGATACACTAGCAACAACCGCAGATGACTGAGCCATTCAGTCACATGATCACAGCCGGATAAATTGCTTGCTGATGTTGTTCTGATTTTGAGTACGACGCAAGCGACTGAGGAGCTGAACATCAGTAGTGTATATCTGAAACGAAAATTGTGAAAGTTGTTGTCGTATGCATGTGGGACTGTTTAGGGGAGGCTAGGGCAAAACTTCGTCTTATTCGACAGTTCCCCGGATGAAAGTGCCCTCAAGCCCCCCAATATATTTCCTTAACTGATAGAAATATAGGCTAGTGTCCTACGTGAGTTTTAAGGAATCCCATTCAGGAAATCGTTTGAAGGGGCCAATGCTTTAGTCGTTGAACATCTTCATCTATTTCAACCACGGCATTAGATACCACATAGGCTATCTATCCAGGTAGTACCATTTTTATGAAAAAATTTATCATATATTCGTGCAGCAAGGATAATTGTCAGGTAGGACTTATCTCGCAAATGTCAGGTGAAATTTCGACAACTGGACACCATTTTCCCCACCACAGGAAGCAAATGCATTTTAGCTAATATACACTCATTTGCAAACTAATTTGGTTTCTCCAGAGACTCACCTGAAACCCAGCTGAATCGCTTATTTTTGATGTTTCCAGGCAATTGAATGTGATGCACCAGGCCTCCCTATGTTTTAGTCACTACGATATTCGAGATATCACGATACATGTATTTTTGTAACGCGCTGCGATGATGAGCTCCAAGAAGGTTGAAACCGGTCGTGGACTGTCGACGGCTTTTCAGCAACCTCATGAGTAGTTCATTGCAAAGATACAAATGCATTTTAGTGAAAGAAAGTCCCACAAACTGGTTCTTTCTCCCCCAAAGCCGAAAAGAGTGCTCATACCCTCATGGCTTATAATACCGCCCTAGTAAGCATGCTGTGAAAGAAAGCCTTGCTTGATCGGGTAGACTTTATTTACAGTGAAACCAAAGAATTCTGGATGTTTTGTATAAACCACATGTTTCCCTCGAACCGACGTCATACCTAACTGGCTATTCAGGCGGCTGCAATGAGAAGGGACCCAAATGGGGAAAAATTATGAACATTTATTTTTCGAGTAAAATTTCCAAATTTTTTATCAAGGTTTCCATAAATGTTTCAGGTGACCTAGTAGAGGTAGGTGGTTATACTCTCCTGGTACCGATTTACACTACAAGGGGCCATTCTAAATGGTAAAGTACGGAAATCACACGTTTCTCAGCCTCGTGAAGTTTTTCTAGTGACAACATCAATCTGTTTACCAAAAACAGTCGATTATATATTCCGATGTTAAAAGATATTCAGTTACCTACTGCTCTAGCTGGGCATGAAAGTAAAAAATGTATCCTGGGATCTTTGAGACGCAAAAGTCTTCGTGTACCTAACGGGTCGTAAAAATCTTTACACCAATGGGCCTAACGCTCCTCGGTTGTGTGGAAAGTACGAGTAAACTCAACGGAATTTTTTCGTTTTGCTTAAAACTCGGCTTTGAAATTCTGCGAATGGTGATCGCGTGATCTTGCTCTGCATTCCTGATGAATAATATAACACAATACCGAGATGACTCATTGGTTAAGGGACCAGTTTACTGATTTGAAGGTTCGTGGAAGATAAATATCAAGCAAAATTCCCAAATGGTGTAGACCTAATTCCAAACACCTAGATGACTCATTGGTTAAGGGACGAGTTTACTGATTTGAAGGTCCGTGGAAGATAAATATCAAGCAAGATTCCCAAATGGTGTAGACCTAATTCCAAATGACCTTCATCGCCAGGCTGGAAGAAGAATGTCCTTACAGTGACACTGTAAATAAATCACTCAGCACCTACGAAAGCAACCTACTGGGTTGTTCAATCAAGTTTCACTGAGCAACCATGCTGCGGAGGTTTCCGAAGACAAACTCGAAGACTAGTAACGCGGATCACGTGCTGGCTTAAGGACAGCTTCGAAGAAGGCTCCGGGAACACATTAGACCTCCAATGCGTTCTTCGAGGCCACAATAAAACTTCTGACTCGGAAAACTAAATATCGTGAACATCTCATGCACAGCTTGGTTGTCCACCAGATTTCTCGAGTCCCGTCAAATCAGAAGTTAGAATCGACTTCAGACTGTCGCGCGATTAGAAAAGGACTGTCCGAACATCTGCCGTTATAAATTTCCATGTTGCGATTACTGTGAAATCGGCTTTTGTGGATTATTCTGCGATTATGCAGCTTTCAAAGTAAGTTCGGTAAATTCTTTTCAAAATCAGGTGTCCCGGTGCTATGCCAGGCGAAGCCTCAGGCCGTCGAGTTTGCGAAGGACCATATGTTGTTTGCAAACATCCGCGGCGAACTGTGATACTTAGCTCAAAAGTTGGCGATGCCGCTGAACAGTTTGATAAGTGCACCAACGCGAATAAAGCTTGGGGTGCGCAGGAACCTCCGTTCGAATATCTCCGACAATTCTGATGGCAGAAAGACTGGACCCAAATTCGTAAAACGCTCCCTAGCTATCAAATTTCCGACTGGGACAGATTACTTTCGTATCCGTTGGAATATCTCCGACAATTCTGATGGCAGAAGGATTGGACCCAAATTCGTAAAACGCTTCCTAGCTATGAAATTTCCGACTGGGACAGATTACTTTCGTCTTGATGAGCAGTGAACACTGTTTGTTGGTATGATTGTGTACTGGGATGTTAGATCTCCTGCTACCACTACTGGCGCAGTTTTTAAAAAAACCTGAGGAGTGTGTGTGTTTGTGAGTGTGAAAACCGGGGAGTTTGAGTCGACACCAAAACGGGAGTCTGAGAATCAGTCCTCTCTATATTTTATTACTGGTAACGCGCCAACGCTTCATGCGGTACTTTAAAAGCCTCCACGTTCAATGATTATGGTGGGTTTTATTTGTCATCTGCACTGAAAGTGCCAAAAACAGAAGTATTTCGGTGACTGTGGTGTCGCAGGGACCAGACTGCCATGTGATGTCGACGGAGAAGAACAAGATTCTGAGCAGCTCCAAAAAGTGAAAACCAGAAAAAGGAGTTCCGGTGGACGGAAACAGCAAAGTGCATTCGGTTTGGTCAGAATTCCTAGGGAAGTTCACCTTAATCACATAAACTAGGAAGCTAACAGACAAAATGGCATGGCATGGAAGGAGTTGAAATAAGCTGGCCGACCGTCGATTCAACGACCGGTCACTACGCACGCGTCTGTCGAACGTTCGATCTGCAAGGATTGTGCTTGATTGCACTGTATTCGTGTGAGTCGTCTAGAACTTTTTGGCCACGAAACATCGGGGGATAAAGAAAATTTACCAAATCTGTCTTGACTGTCTGAAAATACCAAAGAGTTACATTTGCAACAGTGCTGAGAGATTGGTGGAGGTGGGTAGCTAGATATCCTGTTTAAATACCATTTAAACATGCCACTAATCAGTCGCCCCTAATCGACCGGGAAAGTTTCCAAACTACTAGCCTGAATACCACGGGTTTGGAACTCTCTGGATTCTCGTGAACTACGCTTCTGATGATTCCAAATTCACCCCGGCTTTCCAGCATAGACTAGCTCCAGGTGAATACTCAATTGAAAATTTCCAAGACTCCTCACAGTACCAACACATCATACCAGCTATTAATAAGTACTTCGAGTATTTTCTAACTCCTGATGCTAACCAGCTGTCTATCCACATTATTTAGTTTTTTTACATGATTCGAAATTCATGGGCCATTGTTCGAACGTTCTTGTAACTGTACGATTTCCCCTGGTGTTTACCCTCCGGTCTTATTCCCACTGCACCAGGTGAAAGAGTTCAGTTAGTGGCAAAAACCGCAAATGGGACTACCCGGCCAATGGAACTTGGAAATAAGAGGCCAATAAATAAAGTGAGATCACTTCACCGTAAGCAACAAAAATGGCTTTAAAAATTCGTCCGTCAATCTGACAAGCTTTCAAAGCATTTCGGAACCTACCTGAATATCAGAAATGCTGCGTGCTTCACCGTGGTCGAAACGATGACTGAATCGACCGGGATCAAAGGTGTAAATGAATGGATACTTGCAAAATAGATTTCTTTGGGAAAAAGTGAACAGTAGGAACGCGAGTTTGCATTCACCGTCGAATCTGTAAAATGATTAAAAGTAATCGAGTGGAGAAAAGAACAATGAACACCGTGGATAATGTGAGTAGATCGTGATGATCCAGACAATAAATTCAAGAGTATAAAGCATTTCCGCCTGGACCGCCCTGCTCCACTGGGAAGATATCTTTGGGTGGAAAGTGCCACTGGTATTAGAGAGCAGAGATTAGTAAATAGTGTAGTAGTAGAGAGTAAACATTCATGATTACCTGCCCACTATTACTGGCGACTTTCAAGATATTTGACAACAATCCGAAGACGGAATGTCTGAACGCACACAGTCTGCCGCTAAAATTCCTGCGAGTTCTGCTTTTAACCGGCTAGCTTAGTGCCCAGTTCTCCTGGTTATGAAGACCAAGGCAGTGTACCACTAGAAAGGAAGAAAGCCCTTTTCTGCGGAGTCATCTATTAGATAACAGGAACCAAAAGGTTACAAGCTGTTGGGGGCGAAAGTAAACATCTCATCAGCACATATTATCCGAAGAGTCAAAACTCCTAAGCTTCTTTGAGAGCTTCTCATTAATTCCGTAGTAAAACTAACCTCCCGTCAAATATGTGGCCTTACCTGGACACTGCACAATATACTACTTGCATGCTTCACAAGTAATATACACCGTTACACCTCATTGATCAGCTGATTCATTAGATTAATCAGTGCTTGCTGGGCAGCACACATCAGTAGTTTTTGTTCATCTTTAACGGAGAGCACTTTCAACGACATTCATTTCCATTCATTTGAGGATATTTTATTGGCATTTCACAGCCCAGAATGCAATAGGTAAACAATCAATGATTGAGTGATTGAGAGATTGAGCGGAATCCCCTTTAAAATCCAATGTGTATAAATAAAAGTCCACTGCTTCTCAACACTCTGGGACTAAAGACTCAAGGAGGATATGAAAGCGAGGCGTTTCTTCACAATGCAGCCATAAAGCATGGAATCATGATTTCTCCGAGAAGACGACATCGGGTTCCTTGGACTACTGATTTATTCCAAAACAGAGGGCACCACACTCAAATTTAGGCATGTCGCTTACACAGACTTAATAATCCACTTTCCCCATCAAATTCTTGCGAACAGCGGAGCTGAGTTAGCTCGGTGCCAAATTAAAACGCTGTTTTCCTTTGATTTTGGTTGCATCTGTGGACCATAGTTTGAGGAGCACACAGCAGTCCGTGAAACATTTCTTACTTAGACCCGGCGAGATAGGATGAGGCAAAGTATGAAACTCCGTATTTCTGGAGTTCTCTAAGGTCAGCGGTGGATCATCTACGAGAGGACAAAGGTAAAAATTCATTGTTTCAGTGCAGGGAATGTGCTGTGTGACTCCTCTCATGGGATTTTATTTTGAAATCAATTTTTAGAACCTCTGAAATTGTGTTTCGAGAAGAGAAGCACCGCGTTTCTCTCGATTTGGAAGAGAAGGTGAAGACTTCTCGCTCATATGGGGCAAGCAAGCCGGGTTATTCGGACTTTTGTGATACCTTTACTGTATGAAGCAGTGAAGGCCTGTGTTCAAATGACAGCGGGTTCAGCAGACAGTTGTGCAGATTCGAAACAACAATGCCGCAACCGCACGAGAGATCAGATAGACGCCAGTCAATAAGAACGGAACCTAATCCATCTACTCATAAGACTCGACCGACACACCGGTCACATTGGAAAAATGGCTTCAGCCCAACAGGTACCTTCGACGCACTAATGTCATTAACTCGGTGGGCAACAAGATGTCTCCGTTCAACTCGTATCTAGCACAACGAACCCAGAAAACGGTGGACAACTGAGTGAAAGCGGGCATTTTAACTGTGTAACAAGGCCGCTTAGTGACAAGGAAAAATAGTGACAAACAGGATCACCTAACGATCTTCACACATTGTCGTTTCCATAACGTGCACAAACCTGTGAAGTAATGACTGACTCACTTGTATTTGGTTATGTATAGCGCCTAAAGTACGGTGAGTTGGCGCGAACTGTGCTGCTGCGCCATAGTAGGCTCCGTACGCGTTGGAGGAACTTCCCATGGTGGTGTTCGAATAGTCGGAACCTGAGGAACGACGGAGAATAACGGGCAATCAGATATTTGGAATAACCCAAGGTACCAAGTTTACTGAACCTGTTTATTAGGCAGCTGTGTACTAAATGAAACTAGGAGGGAGCCACCGAAAGTATAAACAAGTATACATTTGAACATCCGGTTGTGTCAGTGTGCCGGATCAAAAGCAATTTGCGGTCACTAAAAAGTCATAAACCTGTTCGGTAGGAAAGTAAACAGGGGTAAACCAACCTTGAAGAGTCTGGAAGTTTGTCAGTTGGTGGACAAGCATCTGGTCCGTAGAATTCATTCCCGGGCTGACGAATGTGTGTCTGTTTATTGGTGTTTGGCCTGTCGCCATCGTGGACTGTGGCAACCAACGGGTGTCATGATCTTTGACATCGTTAGACACCAGAGGTGCACCCGAGTCGGCGAATTCGTCGGCAGTCAGGGACGCCGATCCCTGGCTAGGACTCGGGGAGAAATGCTGAGGAGGTATAGGGGGTAGTGGGAGGCTAGGTGGAGGTGGAACCATTCCAGAAGAAACAAGCATATTCGCATCCTTCTGTCCGGAAATAAAATTTGTCTGACCAGATTCCAGTTGTCTACGGTCTGTATAATTTGAGTGAAATCGAGGTAGATCGTTTGTAAGCTTTTGATTGGTATTGGTAGCGGTCAGTCCTCTGATCGAACCTCCATTGCCAATCCTCGCATACGGTTGAGAGTCGCAATCGGATTCGGGTAGTGTTGTGTAAATAGCATTGTCCGGTACAAATGTTCGGTAGGGGTCAGTTTGTACAAGCTGACCTGGTGGGTAGCTTGTAAGACATCTTACCTGTTGTCATGTAGAAAAAAACAGATAATTTAACATGATCAAACAGACCGTTTTTAATCAACTCATAACATTTAAACAAGCTCAAGTTACTGAAAGAAGCGCACGCTTTCCACTGAAATTCAGCGCATAATTCATGATGTTATCTTCCAATGATATATGGATAAGTTTCCCTAATAACAACTCATCGCCCTAAAGATTGGAGCGAATCTGCTGTCAGTTATGGCAGTCAGCAATGATTAACCACCTCAAAGTGGCGTGTCACGATTAGCGTCATGAAATTATGATAGACAAGCCGTCAACGAGTGTTCCGTTATCAGCTGTTTCGTCGACATCATCATCATCATCACAAGCAGCAGACACACCGATGATGTTTGGTGAATCACCGGAACAACTATTCCGGCGACGAGCACATATTCTTAAGCAGCCCTAGGCGAAATTCCACAAGTTGGGGAACACAGCAACAGTTTCTGTCCTGGCAAATGATATCCCCAGACGGTAGAAAGAATAGCAGTTGGGCGGGACCCAGACACTTTGTGTCCACTAAGTGAAATTTAACTCGACTGATTGGAACTGAGCCTGGTGGCCAAAGTTACGCACTGTAACGTTCACCAGTATGATCATTTACTAGCTATAGGGTGTCATGAGTCCGTGCCAGATGCCAAGGTTCTGGAAGAAAATACGACACAAGAAGCCAAGAAGAGCTCCACTTGTTCCCCTGCAAAATGTTTTTCCATATGCTACGGTGGTATCTGAAAGGTGTACACCTTTCTAAAAAAACCAAGTGTACTTCCTTCCCCCCGGTCAAACTCTTCCCATGTCTGCTACTATTTACTGCCTTTACCTCATGGACTCGATATGCATTTGTAATCCCTTATGAACTTTAACCCTTGACTTGTCGAACCAATTAGGTCGGCTATCCTTTACGCCCGTTTTTTGACCAGTTGCGTTACCAGGTGTTGTACCCAGAAGTGTGTCGCAAACTAAGATCGATTTGCCATCTTTTCCGGGCTTCCTTTGGACTTGCGCTACTTCGTGCAGCAGTTAAGACGGAAACCCCATAATTTGAGGTTTGTACCCCTTTCGTCACGTATTTTATACATGTAGTACCGCATCTTTTGATAAACCTCAAGAATCCATAGTTTCTGGATTGTGATTTTGTGCGTCATTCAAGTGGGCTTTCTTGAATACGTTGAAGTATTCTACGCCAAGGTTGTTCGCAATGAAGAGATTCAAGTCAAGGAGGATTTATTATTTACACCAAACACTTAATTTGGCGGACGCTGTTGTGGTCAGAAGAGGAACTATTCCTCCACGTCGGTCGATCGATCTTTCCGTTTCAGGTAATTGCAGCCAGAGTGTTTGACAACTGGGGATTCCTGATCACATGATATACGTCCGTTTCCATATGAGTGCTATACTGAAATATCGTCCCAGATAGTCTAGGATCCTTGACCCAGCCCAAAGCACTGCGTTCGAATCTTTAGCGATTTCAAAAGTTTATTAATACTTTTTTCTCCAGTAATGATGCGAAGCTTACCAATTTGGTTTTCACGAGAGGCTGAATCTCTCAACTGAATCTGCAAATGAGTGTATTTCTCGAAAACATTCCAATTTGGGTTCAAGTAGAACATAAGGTTGATGGCAACTCGTGGAATGCACCTACCTGATGAGCCCCAAGAAGGGCGAAACAGGTCGTGGGCTGTCGAAGAGTTTTCGGCAACCTTGTGAGTAGTTTCCTTCATGCGAAGCTTACTTTTATAGCTAGCCATTGGTTGTCCGAAACAGGACAATTATTGTTCATAAGGGTACATTCACCATTTTACGAAAATTTCCACCCCATAGGTAGAAAAAATTTCACTCCGTTATATCAAATGTCCTGTACTGAAACTACTTTGTGACTGTTGGCTTTTTTTGGTAAGCACACTTGACGTACTCTAACTGAAGCCTCCAGTAAATTTGGACAACTGATCAGGTGGCTCGAAATCGAATGCTCAGCTGATTCTCATTTTTATTGAACATTCTTGCTTTTTAGGGGAAAATACTACTTGATTTAGCAGCGTTGCCTGTTTCTGAATAACCCTCATGGTACACCTGGCCTTCGATAAATACATTTATTTGCATATCAGTTTGGTTCTCTCGGAAGACTCAACTCAATCTCTGGTTTACGAATTGAACGTGTTTGATCACAGCCATCCCCAACATGCCTACGAACATTGATTGTCGCAACGTATGAGATCGTCTTTAATAGAGGGAAGTGTATAAGAAAAATTCGCATAAAAAATGACGGTATACGTTCACCTGTCACTATTGTGTGGACACTGCTCATCTTTGCATGACCCCTGAATATTTCTCAATCGAGGTGCTGGCTAACACCAGACATCGATTTCACCCTTGATGACTCGGCTCTAAAGCTAAGGAGTGCAAAGATTCCTTAAGATATTGTGAGGTCAGATCCGTCTCGTGGATGATCTGTGCTTCATAAATTCAAACTAACTCAAACAACGATAAGGCGAAAAGCGAGATGGTTACGTCGCTGAGTTCATGAACTAATTCGACTGCGAAACAACTCTTACTTGAGTGGTTGATAAGGGCAGAAAATGAATGATGTCACTGGGTTGTGCAAGACCATTGTTCATTGAAGTAGTTACTGGTGCCGAAGTGACCCGCGGGCCACTCGAAGAAAATGGATGAGGTATGTTCGGATCCAGATTGACTATGAGGCCAGAACCCACACCCGGGTTTGCCAGATTCCCATTGATGGGAAAATTGTTCCCTATGGTGTTGGAATACAACTGTAGTCCTGGTACAAAAGCGGGGCTGTTGGGAACGGGTTTGGTCGCGTCTTGTTGACAATGTATCGGGTGTTGGAATTTGGTCTGCATATCCATGAGTGCAGCGGTTTTTTGATTATCACTAGCAACGTTGTTGTGGTTGGATAAATTTGAAGCCAATAGCTGTGGATCGTTTAAACCATCGAATTGAGTAGATCCATTGGTGCGCTTCTTTCCACGATGAAACCGACCACCAAACGATGCACGTAGGTGTTTCTGTCTCCACAGCCCAAACAGACAAATCAGGCCGATGACAATTAATACTGCCAGGACTCCGCAAACGACTATCAGCGTTAATGTGGTTGGTTGTCCCTGAGAGAATGCAGTTTCGAGCAGTAAATTTGAGCGTGAAAGAGATGCTGTTGTTGTCGTAGTCCTTGCGATAGTGGTACTCACAATGGCAGGATGTGGGAGTGGTTTACTTTCCAAGATTTCTTCATTCACTTGCTCTGAAATAATGACAAGATTGAATGAGGTGTTATGCATTTGATAGATTAACTCTCTGGAAACTTGCACCTTGCTAAACATGTATAAATCTATATAGAAACCATGCTAGGCAAAGATGCTTCCTCTATTGTCCACATATATTTCATACCTGTCCGGAAGACTAAACTATCAGCTTCCCATGAGGGATTAGCAGACGAGCAAAAGGAATAAGGTGGACAAGCCACACTTTGCCTGTTTTTCTCTCGTTTTTCCCCAGTCAAAGGAAATTGTCTAGAAAACAGATTGGGTTGCCTAGAAAAACTGGGAGGGTTTCTGTTTTGAGGTGCGTCCATCTCATGGGAATCAAGGTGTGTGATCTGGCATAGAAATGAGATTTGCATTCAAAAATCCGGACAGAACGTGTATGGATTTAACTTGCAGCTGGAGTAGTATCTGTCTGTCTTGAGTTTGGGCAACTTATTGTTATATCTGCTGCTGACCCTGCTCCAGTGTCTGGTGCCGAAAAAAAGACTCACAGAATGGAACACAAAAGCTATACTTCGAACAAGCGAGCGAGTGCGTGCGAGTGCAAAAATTACAATGGCCTGCGCTATTTGAAAGGCGTTTTCTGACATTGATACAGGCTGTCTGATAGGCGTTTGGTGAACACTCATCAAAATCAATAGTGCTTCCATGACATGCGTGAATGCTGATTTCATTCGGCCATGCTTCTGTGGCGTACCTGAACACTCATCGGTTTTTGCTAGATTGATTGAATAATTGACTGGCCTGGATGCTTGCCGGTTTTCCTAGTGAGATTTTGGTGGGGTTTTAGGGTCTCAGTAGGTTGTGGGTGTTCCAGGGTTACTTTGGGGAATCTGACCTTCCTGATTGTTATTCTCGGAAAAAAATTAGGAATAACGGTTCTGAAACCAATCACTTCCCAAAACAGTCTGTAACATAGGCTGATTCTGCACAGCCAGGGTTATTTGGTTCGTTTACATTGGTCTACGATGTGTACGTATTATCATGCTGACTTATTCCGAAAATATATATGCTTGAACGTAACTCTCTCTAACTCGCGTACCGTGCGCCCATATCCAGTGGCGGATATCAGCTGCGTGAAAAACGAAACTGGTACGCATTCCCCTATGGCTAGGCTGAAAAAAGTTCGTAGCCCAAGTCGCCAACCAAAGAGGAGCAAAGTGCTTCCATTGAACAGGGAAAAGATTACTTCGACAACGAATGAATTATCGCATTTTGCGTTCCATTTCATAACAGAGAAATCGATCATGCATCACGATGTAGCTGTTCTGCTAAACACTGAACCCGATGGTTTCAAATTCTATCCCTCAGATTTAGACATGTTGTCAATAAAGTGAACCGGAATCTCTTACATTCAGAACAAAAAAATACGTATTCAGCTACTTTCCTCAACCTCAAGTTGTATGATCGATAGAAAATATTCGATTTTTACTTAAATGACACGTAATCCTTCGTGTTGTCTTAGACCGGATGCACTTGACGGTGGTCAAATGATTTGCGGAAGGAAAGCGCTTGCACCTGCATCAAGCGCTAGTGAAATAATTCTTAGGGGTAAAAGAGTGATGTATGTATATATGTATATAAAGTATGTATAGGTATGCAGGGAAGAGAAAAGAAAGGAAGGGAGTTTTTTTACTCTATGAGTAGATAACATCTGTATTCGAAAAGCCTTTTTCCCTAACCTGATTCCTAGGATAACTCAAATCCTACGGAATAACGTTTGTTTCTAGTCCAGCTTATGTGTGGATGTGATCGGAATACATTACATAAGTTGTTTTCAGTTTCTCCATATTCTGCTGGCTTACCCTATAAATGGAAAGGAAAAATTTGGCAAAACAGAAGAATATTCAGATCAAACCACACCGTTAATTTCAACTGCCATTTCCACATACAAGAACGTTCCATGAAGCATTCAACAAAAACATCCCAGCTAAAAAATTAAATTTGTTGCGTGACTAGGGTAATGGCTAACGAATGCATGAAGTCGCTCCATCAGGCTAATGTATGTGCTGAAAACAAAATATCTCGAAAAATGTGAAAGTCAGTTTGATCGAAGCTTCTCATTCCTGTGAGAGGGAGCATCCTATTTGTAGCGCGTCCTTCAAGCTCGCAACATCAACAATCGGAGAGTAATGGAGTAGGGAAATTTTATTTGTAGTGGTGTAAAACAGATAGTCATTTATTAATTTTCTGCTAACGATAGCCGCTAACTGTTATAAAAGAATGTAGATTTCTGTGCAGTAATAACTCCGGTTACGGACTTTTGTTGAGATTAGCCAGACAGCACGGAAATCATCCACATAGAGTAACCACATGGCAGGCGATGAGAACAATTTTGAATGCGTCGCTTCTAAAAAGCCCGAATCACCTGTCTACATAAGGCTGCTAGTTACTCTTGACCTACGGTGTGCGCACTTATGAAACTTTCAAACGGTGACCAAAGGAACAGTAGAGTACCAACCAAGCTAGGGTTTGCTTGAATTTCCTTTTAAGAGGTCGCTTCAATGACCCGCTAACCAGACACACGTCATGTTGTAGACATCACCACCCCTGCTGGCTGGCTTCAAATTTACAGTCATATCTCATGTTGTGAGCCGAACTGGCACAAAAACAGGCCTCCAGAGAGTGCATGTGTGACAATGAAACAGAAAACACAGCCGATAGTATTCGTCAGTCGTTTTTCGCTAGTTGTCTCCATTCCGGGGATTCTCATATATCTCGACGTGAATGCGCACACTGCCACACGGTGACCCACACCAGCTCTAGTTACCCAGAGTGTCTCCGACCGTGTGATGTAATAGTGGGTACAAAGTAAACAAAAATGGTAGAAATTCAATGCCGTAACTCTACTTATGCTGAAAGGACCGCTAAAAAATGACCTTATTATCGCCTCAGAAGAGACATAGACAAAGGGGATAAATGAATGAAGAACAAACAATGTTTTTATACATGCTAAGGGCCGTACAATCATGTTTTTCTCAGCTGCTAGGCAAAATCCGATTCACAGGAGACATTACACCACGAAATGCGCACATTTCTTTCACGTTTCGTTAGGTGTAGCCCCACTCTTGGGAATATATAGGGTTCACAGTTGTAATCATCGATTGTTGGCTCTTGAAACCTCCACCGTGATGTACATTTCAAAAAGCACTGTGGGGAATCAGTTTGAATACGCGCGTACACCTGCGACCACCACTTAGAGAATGGGAAATTAACACCTGAGTTTACTGTGGAAATGTTTTGTTAGGTCTTAAAAGACGGCTTTCAAAAACAACTTAATTTTTGGTCCAGGGAAGTTTTGTGGACGCTTCCCGGCGACCTGAGCGATCTAGGCATATCACGCTGAGTGTAAATGGCACACTTATTTATCGCTACTGACCACAACCCTATGTGTCCGCAGACCAGCCTGCCATACTGAAGGAGTTGGCATTCAGCCTGTGCTCCCCAAAGCGCCCAAAGGGTATCTATCCAAATGTCGGGGAATAAACCTGAAAAGATGGACTGATAGTTGTGTAGGTGAACGAGTGGTGAACATGAAGCATGGAAGCATCCTCTACTGAGGTGTGGGGCCTGCAGAATCGTTTGATAGCGGTGTATCCAAGCAGCAATAATGGATCTCCGTTGCTTGATTTGAAATCAATGAGTGTCAAAGTGGGCTTTACCGTCTCTCTAGTAGTTGCAACATTGCTGAATGAAAGGTAGAGGGACGGGATTTCGGCGGAACACCAGGTATGAGGAATATTCTGGCTAGTGTCCGGCTGCACATCGTTCCTGTAAGACGGGGTAGAATCACAGCAAGTCGATAGATATATCGACGTAGAGATCTGTCTTTAGTGGTAAATGGTGGCCAACCACGTGTACTATACTGTGAGAAGAACACATTTCAAAGGATATAAAAATTACCACACATTGATCGTGTTATCAGGTTCGTCCGAGGAGCTGGCAGTGCGGTGTGGCGTCTCTATTAAGGTTCAAAAAAGACATTTTACCACATGCTTACTTGTCCTATACCAGGAGGCTAAAAAGTTGAGGGCATCCGACTTAAATATCTCCCTCCCGGTTGGAGCAGGACAGTCGGTCATTCAGACTAAGCACTCGACTCTACACTCGATTTATGTCAACTGAGATTTGTTCAACTTAGTTGGAACGGTATAGATCTGCATATCAGGCTTACACTGAACAGCCCATCCATTCAAAACTCCAGTTGCACGGGACCTTCAAAAGTAGCAGAATCCACTTTCTGAGCCAAGTGCCTTCGATGTTCGAAGAAGAACCAGCAGGGTCGATATTTATGAGCATGTCCGACAACTTGCTTGCTTAAAATGGACTTTGAGCTAAATCATGACGAAACGGTAGCTAGAGTTAAGTTACAGCGCGTTGAGACCACAGCCACATGCCATGGATGCTTGTTGAGACAAACAGTAGGGCTTCGCCTACCCTTTCCTCATGTAGTTCGTTAGAACCTCTTAACACGTTACAAATAGGGCAGACATTATTTACTAGGGGTCGAAGAGATCTTACCTCGAAAGCGATCATCTTTTCAAACATGTGTCTAAGCCCAGTAAGCCGGCTAAAAATCCCGCAGCGCAGTCAGTTATTAGGCACTATTTGAGTCTATCTTAGATTCTTGACGTAGTACCAAAGAGTTGCAAGCTCCTGTTAGCGTATCCAGTGTAGAGATTTCATAGATCATTATCGTCACTGAACTTAAAAAGTGTTTTGTCGCGTTTTAGTGCAACTTGCCACAAACTACAGTACTTACTGTCATAGGCATGCTTGTTAATCTTTTAGAGGAGACAGCCAGGTCCCTTTAAATACTACTAACTCCGTCAAATACTCCTTAGTAATAGGCCGGCTCAGCCCATCTATTCGTGGGCAGAGTATCAGAATACAGATTAGTCAAATCAAATGTCATTTAGTTCTAAAGAGAGGAAACACTGTGTTTGCAATTTTTAGGGCTAGTGGGTTGATGCTAATAGTACGCTAAAAACTAGAAATCCACCCAACATACGTGACGACAGTAAATATGTCAAAGCGCTCATAAGGTATTCCGCAACCTTCAGTCTCAGATTTACCAGAAACTGTAAATAATAGGAGCAGTAAATGATTCCTCACTGGCCTTCCGTTTTATCGTGAGTGGTTCTAGATTCCCAAAGTTTTTTCGGAAATATCAGCCGTACGCGTGCGGCCCGGTACAATATTTGAGCCACTCTAGCCCAGATAGCCAACGTGCATCGTATTATACGGTTTATACCATTGGGTCAAATTACTCACTGTCATGGTATGCACCGTTATGCCAGCGTGACAACCGCCGGCTAACCAAAGGAATTACATCGATCGAAGGAGCTACCAAAAAGTCAAACTGATTGAAATCGAAAAGAAATATTTTAGGGGATACTGATAAATATTGTGAACTTTTTTTATTATGTGGAGCAGATAAGTGGTTGTCTGACCATGAGATATCATTTCTAATCGATCTTGCTGTTGAACCTTATCTACCAAAGTCTCTTTGTAGCTCCAGTAGGTAGCTACCAACGTCCACAGACAAGCAGAATCGGCATAAGTCTTTTACATGCACTTGTTTGGTCATACAACTTGGAGCTCGTTCAATATAATGGTGCACAGTAATAGATGAGAAGTTACCTAATGGATGTAGAACGTCATTCAAGCAGGGGCAAAGTGCCAAGTTATATTTATTCACCTGGTTTAAGGACACATTGTTTGGGCCTGCTGAAATCTGCTGGTTGACTCAGAGTGGTTCCTCGAAGCAAGATTTTAGTGTAAGTGGGCCAGATTACATTTGAATATGTGCCATGGATATGATTTCCACCTGAAAATGGCATTATTGCCCAGTTCTGGTGAGTCTTCATAAATGTATTATTGCAAAACCAACTGACATAATGAGCCCCAAATAAACCACCATTATTAACATCCATGGTGCCATGCGAATGGGTAAAATAAATGAGCGACCCTGATGCGTGCCCTTTTTGTCTGACCAGCTATTGGCTACTTCGCACAATCACCTGGCTATAGAGGAACAGTTAAATTGTTTGTCCGATTGATCAGCGATGTTCCCGTAGGATATGATATGAAAGAACTTGAAATCTGATGCAATTACGTCAACACGAGGGAACTCAAGGAGGAAGAAGGCGCTCATGCGACTGAGGTTTTCAGAACTTCAAGTCGACAACGGATGACTCAACGAAAAGGAGCACTTCGGAGAAAAATCAGTGTCAATACTGCGACGAATGCATTGGTGGTGATGATAGTGGTAGAAGTGTCGATGAGTATGACTATGATGATGTTTACCAGACTGTTGCCGTGACGTTCAAGCAGGTTATCTCAAACTTTACTTCACCACAATGTTTAGAATATTCTTGGCACAACAAAACTCCTCCAACCCATTTATGCAAGATTTGGGCAAACACACTAACCGACAAGAGCCGGTAATTGACACTCAACATTGATCTAGTGTGCTAATCTGAAGACATCTTACTGATAGGTTCTTCTTCCACCTTAAAACCTGATCAGTATACTTGGCCTGATAAAGCTTTCGTGTCAAAAGCGAAACGTTACCCAATTAAAAACGGCCGATTGTTTACCAAGCACTTAGGAAACGAGAACTCTACAGTTTCCCAAGCGGAACGGCGAAGGATGTGTTGGGAAAATGTTTTCATATCTGACACGAGTAATATACTGAAAACGTTTTCCACGAGACAATATAACGGATCACTTGAAACTTTGAAGAGGAACATTTATCACTTTACTTTACTACAAAAACGGAAGGCTTCCTGTAAAGATTGAGCCATCAAATCCCAGTCATACAACCAATAGGCACTAAAGCTGGAATCCTCGTTCGTCCTATTCCTCAGTGAAAGCCGATAAACTGCAGCTCATACGAGCACGCATTTTAAGGGTGAAAGCATCAAAGTTACTGACGCCAGGTTCTGATGTTAAAATGCTGTCCAACAAAACGCCCACGCACTTGCGGTGGAAGAGGTGCACATGCTGGGTGCGCATGATGATGATATACAGTGTGTATCCCTTTATAAGTGTCACGCGGTCATCACTTCAGCTTTCGTGTTCTGTCAGCTGAAAGTCTCCTGGTCATAAGTGTTCCAACAGCTCAATGAAAGCCGGTCTATTCGACAAAGACAACATCGTGCGCATCGGCAGACAGGGTCGAACGACTCCGATTCACTTTGGTTCTGGCGGAATACCCCACTCTCGGTATAATAGAAATCAATACTTACAAAATTACACAGTATTCGCAAACACTATCCCATGATATTTTTACGTGCAATCACTATCCCAACGTAAGTTTGCCGATAGAAATTCCCCTATAAAAGACTATCGATCAGTGGCCCATACAAAGGTCTCTAACTATCAAAAACTGCATAATATTTACAAAACCCGATATCCCAAGTTCTAAAATAGAGTCAACATGATAGGCAACTTCGAACCGAATATCAGTCAACTAGTATGGTACATAGTATTGAAAGAGTTCTTACGGTTTTCGAAGGCTACTTCTCCGACTATGATCCATTCCATCTCAAAGAACAATTTCAGTTCGACAAATCGACCTGTTAGAGTAGGATACATTCCAGCCGAGTTTGATTCCCGTTCGGTATCGGTTGCCATCCTCGGTTGAACAGAAAACAGATCCCTCACGTCGGGATTAGAGGAGACGGTCGTCAAAGATAAATTAATCCACCGAGAACTCCAGTTATGTCGGTCTTTTTCGGGATTGAAAATAAACATGGGTTGTGAATCGGAGAATTCTCCGGTCAAACTAATTTGCGCTGTAATATTTCTGGGTAAAGCAACGCCGTTTCGAAAATCGTTGGCCACAAACAAGCGAATTCGAGTGAAGTTGTAGACACTGTCGAAGCGAAACAAAATTCGCACATTCTGGGCTTCCGGTCCGCGATTGCCCTGATCTTTTGAAACTGCTGAGGAAGAAGTTGGTGGCATGTACCGCATTTGTCGTCTGATTCGACTGAATTGAGATGATCTCCTCCAGCCGACATATTTGAAACTCGAGAAAGGCCTGGAAGGAACACGTAACGAGGGATTACCTATGGGAACATTTCGTGCCAAACTGAGAAGTGTTTAAGTAATGGATGTGAGTATGTGAAAGCAAGACATTTGCAGCGAAACATGTTCCATCTGAAGAAAACTACTCACAAGGTTACTGAAAACTCTTCGACAGCCTACGACCGGTTTCGCCCTTCTTGGGGCTCATAAGGTAGGCGCAATCCCCGAGTTTCCGTCAACCTTACGTTCTACTTGAACCCAAATTGGACTGTTTTCGAGAAATACACTCATATGCAAATCAGTTTGGTTTTCACAAGAGACTAACCTGAATCTCTCGTTTATGGTATTCTATAACTGAATGTGCCGCACACAGGCCGCCTCATGATTCAGTTGGCACGATATTCAAGATATCGCAGTATATTTCCCATCTGACTTCAAAGAACTGATAGCGCCATCGCACACTCACCTAACCGCGCGAAAATTCACAATTTACAGTAAACGTTTTGCAAAAGCTCACCAACAACATTTAAGCTTATTGCAGAGAGTATACACGTATCCAGTTTATCGTTTTGTATTTTTGAAGCCTAATGAAAGCCCACATCGGAAAAATAAATTCAGGAGGAGCGGAGAATGAAACTGAGAACAGTGCCAAGTATTAATGGTCTTTGGTTTAAATTTCTTTACTTCATATCCAAATTAAACTATCAACATTTAATTCACGGCTTCTGTTCGCTTTTTTCACAGTCATACTTGGATTTTTCACGGTCCTAATGTTACATCAGCTGTTGGAACAGCTGACGTTGACTTCTATGCAATTTTAAATGTCAACTAAACTGAGAAACTTGCATTATAAATGTTCGCAAAACAATTGGTTGTATGGTTCGTTTCCATAAACTTTCTTTCCTCTCATCAGAGGCAATCAAGTTACGCGGTAAGACGACACGCTTCTTAATCCACACCGGATAAAATCTTACCCATCAGTCCCAAAGACTCACCTGTATTAGCTAACCTGAAAAGATAATCCACACCGAGACTAGAGATAATCAGCAGCGGTGAGTCTTATTCATTTCGGAGATTACAACATCTCATCCTAAGCTACTTACTATAGATGATCTACTGGGGGATTATGTGCCGAAAATAGCGGCGCATACCGATCGTAAATCAAAATTCGGGAGAGGACTGTATTCCTCTTTTCCCTCTGGTTGTTTTTTTTTCATTGAAACGCTGTGTGAAAAAAAACTAATAAGACGCATATCGAATCCAAGCAGTCCGCCCAGTCTTTATGATCAACAACAGACAACTATCGTAGAAAGAATAACAGTTACCTCACAGCGTGTGTGAGGACGCTATGGCATTTACGTGATATTTGGAGTGTGCCACTGGTTCTTGTTAAAGGCTTGTCAGATAGATATCAGACACAGCAACTTCATTGTTCTTATCAGTCAATAACCTCGCACGTTAATGTCATTGATTGAATGTTTATAAACCTCCCGCTGGAATCATCACTCATTCAAATGAATCAAATTAGAGAGGTCCCTTTTTGAGATTCAAGTAGTAAAAACACCACATGTAACCAGCTTTGATTGATTAACTCCCTCAGACAATAGCGATTTTTTATAACGTTTTAGGTTCATCCTATGGATCAACATTATTCTGGTTCAAAAACCAGTTCGGCACCAGATTGTACCATCATTTTCAGGGTCAGTCAGACAAAAACACATACAACCTCAAGGCCTCCCGATAAGCTTGTTTCACGTGAGGTAAACACGTCGCTTGACCTGTGAACGAGCAGCTGTTGACTATTCTTAGTAGTCACACACACACCACGGACACGGTGACATGTGTGATCTAGCATAGCCCTCCGAAATAGTTGATTTGTCAGAAACTTAGTCGGCAGTTTGTAGTTTTTGGCTTATGAGACTCTCCACACGTCAATTTATCGAGTGACCAGAAATGTAGTAACGCAAGTAAAGCATTGGTTTTCATTGAATGAACACGACAATTCAAAGGGGACTCGCATAACACCCGAATAAAAGTAAGCGGATCCAATGTGCTGCAAAACAACGCGACAAGAAGCGCCTTATGGAAGGCACGCTCCTGTCTGTATAAGATTCACACTGCCTATCATTCAAAAGAGACATGCCGTAAGATCACAATACCCATCCAGTCAAGTAGAATGACAGTGTATGACCAAATAAAACATGCTGAGAAGATAAATACCTATCAAACTGATTCACGTACTATAATGGGAAATCGTGAGCTCTTTTGCAGCAACCTCACCACCAGTCAGTCTCACTCTTTGTCTCACTAGCAGCTGAATTCCGCTCAGTCTAACTCACACAACAATAATAGACATAATCCCAAGTGACCTTCAGATAACCAGTTTTCTGAATACGTGATCTGAGTCTACCTGATCCTGTGGTGCGCACCCTTGTGGCGAATATCGATCGAGTGTAATAGAGCCCCTGTGCACAAGATTTGTCCCAGGCAGTCGGCGGAAATGAGCTCGAACCTACCCAACATTCGTCAGTGCTTCAATATCTTTGTCAGAAAGTTTGCCCAGGCCACCGCGTAAAACCAACGAGGATGGGATATTTTGTGGGTAGCCCGGACGGCCAAAGTCTGTCAGGGCATTGTGCAAACCGGTGGGTTGGAAATCATAGCTGTTATCTTGGAACCGTGTCTGACGTGTTAGCTTCCGAGATTCGTAGGCATAACTGGGCAGAATAGAGTCGGACAGTAGAGATCCCTGCGGAGACTGGTATTCGATGAGCCCATCTAAAGAAGATAATGGTTGGTCAGTGGTCACACATGATGTTATTGCACATCAAAAAACTGCTAGACACTGAACTATCCTGTTTGAAGTATTTCATGAGTAATCAAAAACTAATCGACCCATGTAAGCAGTGCATACTTCGGGATGCTAGTTCATATGGCGGTTAGGGATAAAAGATGAGTTTCTGCACCGCCAGCCTTGAGTATCCCTACCCTGGTTTTTGGTTAGCAATGTGACAGTATTTTATCCACTGGATGCCAAGTCTGGAACAGTTACACAAAGAGATAGGTGAGCCAGAAAGTACATGGAATTTTCTGTATAGAAAGTAGGTCCGGTAACATCATGAAGGTGGGACATATGAGTGTTTCAGTCCACCTGGAAACTGAACAGCTGCCTGGCGCCAGACTAACTCCAGCGGTATGATGACATCCATGGTACTATTCAGACGCATTTAAATTAAAACCTACGGCTTTTGTTGTATCAACCCCGTGCATCAGACAATACACGAGAAGAATTAGTAATTGGTGCGCGACGCACAAAATGGTCTTGTCTGCTATTGTGTTGCGTGGAATCCTGTGGAATTGAATGCCCCCAGGTGAAGGGCGGCTTTGGGAAGTTTCGGTGCCTTACTAATACAAGGTGGCCATGGGGGTTCACGAATATAGACCAAGGAAATGGAAACGTCAAAAGGTGACAAAATGAACACCGGGAAGCATGAAAGGATGTTAGCTTTATGGTAAGTTCGAATCCTGATCCTCAGTTATTACCATATGGGCAAATAGTCCTCCTGTGCATTTCAAATTTTCTCGTTAAGTGTAACTGACACAACCGTATTTCGAAAGGCGCTTTGACGTTACAAACCAGGATTGGTGTTTCTAACAAAAGTGTGTTTCACACCTGCTCCAATTAGAAATACAGAATTTCACGGTCAAGGGAACAAATTCCAACTTACTTGCACTACATCCGAGGATTTCCAACTTTAAACAAGTCTTGGTTGGTTCCAAACTGAACGGGTAAATTCTTATATATCGTGCAACAAATGAGGGTTCCATTGTATTGTAATTTTCTGTCATTGCATCCTGATTCCCGTTGAGGCGCTGTGGAGAAAATGTTCGTATGTCGAAATGTGTGAGTGGAGAGTGGGAAAGTTTAGAACAGTCGTACACGATAACACACCTGCAATGTGTAAACACGCCTCATCTAACCTACCAACAAATTTACTTCAGGAAAGATTGTACTAGACTGAAATGTCCATACGTATGTTAGCATTCATCGTGAGTAAAACCTCGGACGAACGAAAGCTACGCTCCCGTAACCAACGTGCGATAATCGACCGTTGACACATAAACTTTTGGTTAAGACCAGTGATTATCACTCTCGCAGTACGGACAAGTGGATCAAAATAAATAACTCGCAAGCTGCGATTGATGCCGCGCCAGAGAGCTAATCTCTCATCAAATAATTACTGGATAATAACAAATTACAACAGTCCAATTAAGGAAAAAATCTCGAATAAGAAAAATGTTGGTTTTATTTATTTTTTAGGTTGTCTTTTAGGCACAGTCCTTGTTTTGTTTAGACCCTAAAATGTCATCACGTGACGAACTGCACTCACTTTCAAAGTAACTTGGCGTTAATGCCAGAATGAACTAAATCTTCGGTTTACCGTAGTCTCTAATCGACGGTAGTGGACAAAGTCTCCTCATGCCTCATTTGCAAAACATTCGAGATTTAGAAGCGTTGTCCTTGGAGACAGCTCACAAGTTATATGGTTTCTGAAGAACATTCTTAACTTAGCCGAGTTCCTCTATAGCACTTGTGAATGGGTATATTCCACCCCTTACTTGTAATTCGGTATTTAGGCGGGACACATTGTTAGTAGAAAGTGGGTGACCGTGCCTGCTTGATGAGCCACAGGGAAGAAATCAATCGTGCCCAGTTTAAGGCCTTTCAGGAACCCTGGAAATAACTTGTGTCCAGAAAATATAGTCAAACATCTCGAATATCGTGCCAAATATTATGCGAGGCAAATTTTTTCCACAGAATTTAGCCGAATGATGAAAAACAATCACTCCATACACATAAGATACTTCAGTTCGTACGTAAAAGTTTGCATCTTGCGTACAAGAGAAAACAGATGATTTCCCGAGACGCCTCACTCTATGCTAGTGAGTTTTTTTGGGCACACGTTTGCACATGTCAGATTCTTAATGAAACTCAAAAATAAAACCTTGTCCAACTGAACAGTAAAACACACAAAGACAGCATAACTAGCCTCACGTTTTAACCGATTGGGGACATGCATAACACACGTACTCTCCACGGTCGAAGTGCTCCCTGGGCCTCCGCTCACAGACATCGAGTACGCAGACGACATAGCTCTTCTTGGATCTGAACCCGTGGCAATGCGAGCAACACTAAATAATCTAAATAATTCTGCCTCGCGGTTCGGCATGCGCTTCACACCTGCAAAGTGTAAAGTACTACTGCAAGACTGGGTGGGCTCGAACCTTAGCCTCATATTTGCGGATGAACCGATGTGGGAAATAGACAAATTTGTTTACCTGGGCAGCTGTATCAGTCCCGGTGGTCTCACGAAAGATGAAATTTCCATCCGGATTGGGAAGGCCAGAGCAGCTTTTGCGAACCTACATC